CCACCCAGTAAAACAGCTTCGGGGTTTGGCTTCTCCTTTCCTTTCAAACTCCAGGATTTCCTTTCTTAGTTTCATCCACCCCCTAAAAGCCACCCAACAGCAAATGCTAATATTATATGTGGTTGCCCACGACCATCTGATCTATGTGAAAGGACAGAAATATGTCCAGAATATGGGGCTGAGGGGATGGAAGAGTCAGGATGACCTACGTTTCCAGACCTGTCTTGGATATTTAGAAAACAATGGGTCTCCGAATACTCCCCTCTCCCCTCCACCACCTCCATACAGAAATGTCCTTCTTTCACATGGATGTCAGTAACTCAGCGTGATGTAGCTGTTCTATATTTAAGGTTAATCTAGAAGTGTGTTGTCTCTGAAAAATTTATGTACCAGGTTTCCTCAGAGATTACAATCGAGATAAACATCCTCAACTGAGCCCTCCCAGGGGCTGCTTGGGAAGACGGGGTGGGTGTACTGAGGTGAGAGTGTGGGGCGGCGGTGTTCCCTCTTAACTATACATGGGTTGGTATGTTTTTTGGTATGTTTTTCTGCCCTCCAACCCCCTTTCCAGGTGACTCTGATGGAGACAAGCAACAAAAGCTAATCCTTGTTTGGTGGTGATCTCCCTCTCCCTACACACACACACACACACACACTCCATCCATGTCTTAGGACTGCAGTTACATGAATCATGAATGTTGCCCCACCCACCAGGAAAAGCTACAAGTCTGAACAGCTCCAGCCCTGTAATGAAAGGCCTTTGTAGGAGGCATTACCTCTTGCTGAACAGAAGCAATTTGAAACCGGTCCCACCAGTGTGACTAGGAGACTGATTCAGTCTTCTCATAAGCTTCTCCAAGTGTGACAGACACAAACAGCCCAGTTTCCTTTAAGGAGTCACAGGAAAGGTCAGCCTACTCAAGTGGCAGGGGGACAACACCACTGGAAACCGTCAGACGTGTGGACAGATAAGCATAATGTACAGGGGAAATGCCACGATAGAGGTTTGTAAAAATGATGGGGGTGAAAGATGAGCAGGAAAGGCTTCCCAGCGGAGGTGACATTTAAGTTGAAGTGAGAGGGAGAACTTGCCAGAAGGAAGGTTTATGAAGATGAGCCTTTGAAAAATGTCTTAAATATCATAAAACTCCATTTAAGAAAATTTCCAAAGTCTTAACAATATGGAATATTTATTAGGATAGAAAAGAAAAATCTTAGATATTTGAATATATCTCATAGAGATTAAGAAGAAACTTTTAATGAAAACTGTGACAACATATTTCTGACTGGTACTGCAATATCCTGTTTAAGCTTTATAACTGCCTGAATTAAAACAAAGTTATTCAGAAATTATAAAACAAAGCATCTAAAACAATGGCTTCTCTGTCTGAAAAGCAAGGTATTGCACAAATATAGCTGAGCTTACATGCAAAGATTTCAGGCATTCGAATAATGCTAAATTCTCTTTTATTCACAAGCTTATTCATAGTTATGGAGGAACAGGGACTAGAGGAGTAAATATAATTCAGAAAAAACACTTAATAATTACAAGTTGATTGCAGTGCTACCATTTGATCCAGCAATTCCATTTCTAGTTATTAACCTAAAAGAAGTAAAGCATCCATATAGAAAGACTTATACACAGTTGTTCATAGCAGCATTACTTACAGTAGCCAAAATGTGGAAACCACCCAAATGTCCATCAACCAATGAATGGATAAATAAAATGTGGCATATCCACACTATGGAATATTATTTGGCAATAAAAAGGAAAGTCTTGATATATGCTATAAAACAGGTAAACTAAAGGTCACATATTGTATGATTCCATTTATATGAAAAGTCTGGAATAGGCAAATTTATAAAGAAATAAAATAGATTAGTGGTTGTGCAGGGCTGGAATTGAGGGGGATTGGAATGGGGAGTGATTGCTAATAGATAGGGGGTTTCTTTTGTGGGTGATGAAAATGTTCTAAACTTAAATTGTGGTGATGGTTGCACAACTCTGTGAATGTACTAAAACCAGGGGTCCCCAACCCCTGGGTCATCAACTGGTACCAGTCCACGGCCTGTTAGGAAATAGGCCGTGCAGCAGGAGGTGAGCGGAGGGCAAGCGAGCGAAGCTTCATCTGCTGCTCCCCATGGCTCCCCAACGCTCGCATTACCACCTGAGCCATCCCTGCCCCTCCCCGCCCCCGCATGGAAAAACTGTCTTCCATGAAACCGGTCCCTGGTGCCAAAAAGCTTGGGGACCACTGCTAACACCATTGAACTGTGTCCTTTAAATGGATGAATTTTATGTATGTGAATTACATCTCAATAAAGATGCTTTAAAATTTTATTGCATTAACTTTAGGGTAAAACTGAAAATAAGTTGGGCTTTTAGATTTGGTTAAAATCACAGCTCAAACTGGATTAGACCATCTGCACATGGTGTCTTCAGCTGTCAGTAAGAGGGAAGAAATGGCCGACCAAAAGAGATGGCAGGAAGTCATGTAAGAAAGACTTCATCCAGACTGTGGGAAATGACCTGATTGATATTCAACAACAAAAACCACCACTACAAATTAAAGATCCTGGTTTCAGGATGCCAAACCCAGAGACCAGAAATTGACATACAACTTCCCCCGAAATTAGTAGCCCAGAACATGTAATAACAGCCTCATGGGACTATGAAATACATATAACTCTGCAGAAACACAGCTGCTGTCAAACAAAGCAGAGTAATTTCACTTAACAGGTTAGTTCCATATCCTTCTCCCACAGAAAGAAGAATTCAGGTGCCAGTGAATGAAGTTTCCAGTGAAAAAATGTCAGGCCTAATGTTGATGAGCCTCAAAATATACCACAAGATCACTAATGACCTCCAGTGGTTACAAGTAAAATTGCTCGGTCTGTGATACATGAGATAGAACAGGATGGCCCACAAAGCAATTATGGATATAGGGTTTGGTCTCTCTCTCTCTCTCTTTTTTTTTTTTTTGCGGTACGCGGGCCTCTCACTGTTGTGGCCTCTCCCGTTGCGG